CCCGTACACCATAAATGATTCCTTTCCGGGTGGGTTTATCCTAACTATCTTCTTTCGGCATAATATCTCGGCATCGTTGGCGCTAAGCCAATCCATACCCAAAACGATGTCGAAACCGTTTAACTCTATGGGTAATAGTTCCTCCTGGAATTCGTTTCCGTTTAGGTCAATGACGATGTTCCTAATACGATTACTAACAGGTACGAATTTGCCACTGGCAACTTCTACAATTAGGGCGTTATCAAGTTTTTCTACAGGTAATGCTAATTTCGCACTAAATTTATGCGACACAAAGGAGTAGTTGGCTCCGGAATCAAACAGTATATTTGCAGGCAAACCATTTACAAGAAAGGTACCTGAAGCGACGTCTGCTGCCTCCTTTGCAGCCTCGAGCGTCATCTGGAAGGCTCTCGCCTTCGGCTTTGGTGGTATGTTGGGTCTTCCTGCCTCCTTCTTCTTCGGGCAGTCCTTCAAAATGTGCCCTTCTTCATTACACCCATAACAGGCCTTCTGGTTAAGGGTGCATTCATTGGCATAGTGCCCAGGCTTTCCGCATTTGTAACAAGTGACTCCTCCATCACACTTCCCAAGTGCTTCTTCTTGCACTTGTCACACCACTTTGCTTCTGATCCTCCTCCTCTCGAACCAGACTTCGAGAATCTTCCTTTCTTACCGGACCTCGAGGATCCGTCAAATTTCCTTTTCTCTCCCACTTCCGCTCTCTCCAGACCCTTTTCTCGTATCTGGGTCTCCACATTCTTAGCAGCCCAGATGGCAGCTTTCAGAGTGGTAGTTTGCTTGACCATTGGACCGAAGTCCGCTGGTAATCCGAGGGCAAATTTGTTAACCTTGGAGAGTTCAGTTGGGACGAGGTGAGGAACAAGCTTCATTTTCTCAGTAAAGCTTGCAGCGTATTCAGTAACGCTCATTCTTCCCTTCTTCAGATTCTGGAATTCGTTGCTGATCTCCAGAAGATCCTGCTCAGAGCAGTATTGCATCTTAACTGTACCAGGAAAATCCTCCCACGACATTTTGCTTGCTTCACCTTTGGGCATTGAATCAGCTAATAGCTTCCACCAGCTTAGTACTCCAGATTTCAATAGAGGAACTGCAAGAGCAGTCTTCTGCCTATTGCTACACTCGCAACTCTCAAACATTGTCTCCATCTCAGAGATCCAGTTCATGACTTCCACCGGCGTCGGGCTTCCGGATAGACTCGGTGGCTTGGATGCCATGAAATCCTTGTATTTGCATCCACGTCCATCATTTCCTCCATCCTGGTGGTTTTGCCTAACTATCGGTGGGTTGGCTTGACCAATAGTCCCACTGTAGTTTCCTTCTTCAGTCTGCCCTTCGTTCAACTCGGGCTGTTCGAGCTGAATAGTCGCTTCCTCTCGATTTTGCTGGAGCAAACGCCTGGTTTCCTCCATTTGACGATCCAACATTGCCTGGATCATCGCTTGCACTCCGGCCATCGTTATTGGTCCGCAGCGGCTTCCACAACTGGTATTTGCTCGATCACGGGGGTTGGTGTCTTCCCATTTGCGTTTACGTTTCCGCTACGGGTCCTTGCCATCTTGATCTATACACCGAATAAGGTGAATTTAGATCTTTATTTAGGAGAGACGTTTTAAATCGTCCTTATCACTCCGAAACGTTTACATGCTAGTTCTAATATCGTAGTCGTACGTTTAGAATCCTAAACACATAAGGTTTCCAGATCCGGTCGGCAACAGACCATAGATCCGAACAAAATAACAGCATATCATGCATAAAGCATTTAGCACATATAAGCATTTTAGGCACAATTCCTAAAATAAGCTAGTGCTCACACCTCACAATCATCGCTTAGCATTCTAAGTTTAAGTCTAGAAATCCTACAAATTCCTAGTTCGCTTAAACTAATGCTCTGATACCAACTGTGACATCCCCAAAATCACGGCCAGAAAAGACCGGTTTTGTTTATACTTTATTTCAAAATCAGAGTTATTTTTAATAAAAGGGTTGCGGAATTTGTCCCAAAACAATAATATGATAAAGATTTATCAAAAGCATTTCCATAGAAATGTATTTCATTAAAAGACTCGGGATGTCATGTTCGTACAGATCAAAAGTATAAACAGTACAATATAAGCCTTACTACATTATTTCATATCTACAGGCCTATATCCGTAATCCCTCGTCCAAAACATCACACCTATGCTCATGCGCCACTACCTGTAATGCATAAAACTGAGTGGGTCAGGCTTGGGAGCCTGGTGAGCACATAGGGTTTTCAACCCACAATAAATAAGTTTATTAATTTCATCAATCAACAATAACCCGATTACCCGTTCCCGTTATCCTCACTTTACGTCCCTAAACACCTATCATAAGGGACCTAGCCTAAGGATCATCATCGGGACGGACACTACTGCTAAGGGGATTCCTCAGCAATAAATGTCCTAATAGGCAACCATGTGGGGGATGGAGTACACCGGTGAACACATCGTTCACAACACCTACAGGTTGCGAGCCTGCTAGTGTTCCACTGGACTGTCTAGAAGAGTCCGTGGTCGTCATCTATACTCCGCTAGATGACTGGATCAACAACAACAACATCGAGGCCTCTCATCATTTTATCACACATCACCTATTACATCTACCCATGTTTTACCCCAACATTTTCGTAGATATAAAATACATATACAGTTTAAATCATTGAAAACATGTATAACAACGTTCATCTAGCATAGATAGCAAGTATTCAGATAATATGCACACATAGCACGTAATTTATATAAAATACTTCATATCTATGTGTAAGTTGAAGGTAACTATGCACTCACCGGAAAAGGTGGTGATTCCGAACTCAGACAGCGCTTCGCTTCTTAAAAAGAATTTTTCTTCGACGAAACCTAGTATTATTACCACTAGAGTTTAGTTTATTATTCGTCGAGACTAATTAATAGTCTAGCTATTATTATTATTATTATATAAGCGTCAAAAAAATACTTATATAACCCATAATAATAGCCCAAGTATTTATTATAAGTTCCTAATAACGTTACTATAATTAAATAAAAGTTATATTAAAAATAGCGTAGGCGTAGCTCACTTACAGCGGGTTTTATAGAAAACCGGGCTTTGCTTGGAGCAGCGTTCCCGAGCCGAAAAGCTCTTCTTCTCAGAGCCTTCGAGCACTCCGGGGCTTCCGCCTCGTGCTAGGGAGGTTCCCTAGGCTTTTCGGGGGATTTCGGGGCTAGAGAGAGGTTCTAGAGAGAGAGAGAGAGTAAAGAGAAGAAAGAATGGGAAAGGTGTGAAGAAAATGAGGGTGGGAGAGGTGGTATTTATAGGGTGAAATGTGGCTGAACTTGGTGCCACATGTCACCATCTGGTGGCAAGCCTTGGGGAGAAAGCAATGGCCAAGATTGTGCCACATCACCCATTTTCGCACAGCACACTTCCGACTTCTAAAATCCGTAACTTTCACATACGACCTCCGTTTTTGACGTTCTTTATATCCACGCGTAGGTAATAATAAGATCTACAACTTTCATTTTGACACCGTCAGCTAATTCTCGACCGATCTTAAATTTAACAGTACAAGGAGATTATACTGTTAAACGTCTGCGTAAAATTAATAACTTCTACATACGGACTCTGTTTTTGTCTGTCTTTTTACCGTTGATTTCCTATTAATGAGATCTTCAACTCTCATTTACGTTGCGTAAGCCAAAAACCGCTCGAACTAAAATTCGAGTTTCAGGCCGTGCACTGCTAAGCCGAATCTTAGAAAAATCATAACTTCTTCATACGAAGTCAGATTTGGGCGTTCTTTTTATCGATGTTCTTAGTTTAACACATTCTACGACTTTTGTTTAGATTGCTAAGGCTAAAAAGTCTTCTATCGTAAATTCACTATTTACGTCTCCCGGTGTCGTGCCGGTTTAGCCGTAAAACTTCGGCGGGCCATAACTTCTTCGTTATAGCTCGGATTTGGGCATTCTTTATATGTACGGAAACCTTGAGACATATTCTACAACTTTATGTAGAGATATCGGGATTATCTCACACTTTAATTTTGACGCTCATTTTTATTCTTTCTTAATTATACATTTATAATTAAATAATAAACACATAAACACACATAATTCACATAATACTCAAATATTTCATATTTATTACTTCAAAAAGAGTTACAATAGTTGACCTAGACTATTACATTGACAAAAATGCTTAGCCCTGAAAACCCGGACGTTACAATTAGTAAGCATGTTTTCTAAATAATTAGGGTTAATGACTTAGGAGTGTAATAAAGTTTCCAGTTTGTCCGTATTAAGTCACTAAGGTTTTTTGTACGTATTAGACCAATATGGTTGTTATTACCGTTTAGAAATAGTCCTTTTTACCCGTTAAAACTGGTAAAATGACTATTTCTAAACAGTAATAACAACCATATTGGTCTAATACGCACAAAAAAAACCTTAGTAATCCAATACGGTCAAGCTGAAAATCTTATTAACCTCCTAAAGTTATTATCCCTATCTTTCATATATTTTTTAGTACACCGAAAAATCTCCTTGTGACAGCATGCAGAAATAATTTCATATTCAGTTGAAAGTGTTATAATTTGTTAGATTTAACTCAGAAAAAAATCTTTTTTGTTGTCTTCTTTGTCAAAAAGAAAAGCATTTGAAATTCAACAATAAAGACGACGGCGACCACCGTGCATTGTAATAAACATAACGAAATCAATGGCGTAAAACAGCCATCAATCCATTGTTCTTCATCAAGCAAGCAAACGTCGATCTTTCTACCTTAATCTTCATTCATTGTTTTACTTAATTTTACAAAACTTCACTTACACATTTTATCGATTCAATTCGTATCTTCATCTATATATTTTACTATAAAACCAACACCCAATCATACATTTTCTAATTATTTCAATCCATAAACAATCAAGATCGAGTACTTCAATCTAAAACACGAAAAAACAACAAAAACCCAAGTCCAAAATGGCTTCGATTAACTTCATTTCATCGTGTTGTTTGTACGTGTTCATCTTATCTTCTTCATTTAGTTTGCTTATACAAGCGACGGAGGAGTCCAGCAGCGATACAAACTGGTGGTGCCAAACAACTCCTCATCCTAACCAATGCAACTACTTTCTGGGTCGGGGTCGTGGTCACCATACTCCACCGAAACACCGGGCCGATTTTCGAATGCGGGTTTTACAGGCGGCGATCGATAACGCTAACGAGGCTCAGGGATGTGCAAAAAACCTCGGGAAGATGTGTTCAACCACCGTGACGAAAGCTGTATGGAATGACTGTTACCACCTTCTCAATAACACTATTTCCCAACTCAACCAAACGGTAATCGGCCTGAAAAACAACCGGAGCTCTGACTTCGACGCCCAGACGTGGCTGAGCGCCGCCCTGACAAACCTCCAGACTTGTTTTACCGGTTGCGTTGAACTGAACGTGACTGACTTTGTAACTCCGATCAGGTCGAGTAACTTGACAGAGATGATAAGCAACAGTCTGGCCATAAATCACTTGTTCTTGAAGCAAAAATCGAGTTCCGATCAAACAGATGATTTCCCGGGTTGGGTAACACGCCATGACCGGAGACTGCTGACGACAGCGACAATCCAGTCAATTGCGAACGTGACGGTGTCTAAAGCGGCGGGGAGTAGGTTTCCCACCATTCAATCGGCGCTTGATTATGCTGAAAGTATCGATCGTCTGAATCAGAGATTTATAATCTACATAAAATCAGGCGTATATAGTGAAAACATTCTGATTGGAAGCGATTTGAATAACATCATGTTTGTGGGTGATGGAATCAGATACACCATTATCAGCGGTAACCGGAGCGTCGCCGGAGGTTCCACAACTTATAGCTCAGCAACCGTCGGTAAGACTTTCACTTACGCAAATCGGCAAATGGTTGACATTTTTTCGATAATCTAGAATTTTAATATTTTAATGACACGCTTGATCTACGAATTCTAGAAATAAACATGATAAAAATGTTTCTTAATTATATTCATCGTACGAATATTATGATAAAAGTGAAGTAAAGTGGAAGGTGGACTTGTACAAGAAGATACTTACGATAACTTCTTCCCTTCATTACTGCATCCTATTTCTTCTACATGCACGTTATTGTATCAAAATTAATTTGCATATGAACTCCAAAAATCGAATTTTGGTTTTGGATTTGTTGATTTAGGAGTTGTTTCGTTTGTCTTCTATCCGGTCATGTAAGAGTTTGAATCGGAGTCAATTAGTTCAGACCGTTTCCTAGCTCATTTGAGTTTTGATATGACTCTTTGTGTCTAAATTTCAGTCAATTAAATTTGACTCAATCAATCGAATAAATGATTAATTTAAATGGAATATTTCAGGAGTGGATGGGTCTAGATTCCTTGCACGTGGCCTAACAATTAGAAACACCGCCGGCCCTGAAGGAGCTCAGGCGGTGGCACTCCGATCAGCCTCCGATCTCTCCGTCTTCTACGCTTGTAGCATCGAAGGATATCAAGACACTCTGTTCACCGTCTCCCAAAGACAATTCTACAAACTCTGCTACATCTCCGGCACTGTAGATTTCATATTCGGTAACGCCGCTGTTGTGCTCCAAAACTGCGTAATCTTGGTCAGAAAACCCTTACACGGTCAAGCAAACATGATCACCGCCCAAGGCCGTGGCGATCCATTTCAAAACACCGGAATTTCAATCCACAACTGCCGCGTGGTTCCGGCTCCAGACCTGATTCCGGTGGTGGGTTCCGTTCAAACCTACTTAGGTCGGCCATGGCAAGAATATTCTAGAACTGTTTTCTTGAAAACATATATGGATAGTTTTATCAATCCGAAAGGGTGGTCCCCATGGGGGAATACTGATTTTGCTTTTAGCACGTTGTATTACGGTGAATACAGTTGTTTTGGTAGTGGGGCCGCCTTAGAAAACCGTGTGAACTGGACCGGATACCATGCGCAAATGAGTTTGAGTGAAGCTTACGACTTCACGGTCCAAGGACTTATAGCTGGGAGACAATGGTTGCCCGCCACCGGTGTGTCGTTTACTGCTGGAATGTGATTACTTACTTTTATTATTTATATATTTATCTATTTGTATACAACAATTTGATTCATATGTACAAAACCAAGAACAATGATCTAAATGATGTTAATAAGTAACATTCCTAGTCTCGCTATTAGCAATCCAGATGCCACTTCCTTCTTCCCCCACCTGGACATGGAAGTTTACCCAAATCTCAAACCATTTATCAAAAAATTTAAAATGATTTTTCAGGTAAATCAACTTTCAACTTACCTATAAATGATCATCTGTGCTGACTGTGCATATGCTGGAGTCGTTGCTCATGATAATATGAATCTTTGCTTCTTTCAAGCAACTATCTGGCATCATTTTCAAACCTTTGTTTTACAAAACGTAATACATTTAAAAATAAAAATAAGGTGACACTTTACATACCTGATGCAGCCAAAGTTGGGGTATACATATTAATAACCAGAATGACATTGATGCCCAAATCAAGAAAATCCCCACTTCAAAACAATCTTTTTCCTGCATCAAAACTTCATGTTAGATACGTCTAAATCACATCAAATTATTATAGAAATCAAAGCTAAAGAATTAGCCAAAAGTTGATAAAATTACCCAAGAGGATCCCTCCTTTTGATATGTCTTCTGAAGTTACATGCCAATGATATGCATTTTTAACCAAATGAAATCAACTCTTAACATCGTTCATGATCTCATTAAAACTCTTTGTCGCATTGGATTTGGAAACTTTCTTCCTTTATCAAGCATCATGTGATGTACCATTTGAGCTTCATGCCATTTCTTTTCTTCCATTAAAATCCGAAACAACCAGTCACCATTATGTTGACAAGGTAAATAATTATACCCCATCATCATATCTTCAAATATACTCAATGCTTCATTCACCAAACGAGAATCACAAAGACTAATAAGCATGTACTCATAAGCAATTTTGCTAGGAGCAAAACCTCTTTTACACATTGCATATGAAAGAGATAACGCATCAATCACTCTCTTGTTCTTACAAAATCCTTTTATCAGAATATTATATACAATTCTATCTGGAATGCAGCCATCGAAATTCATTTTGTTAAACAACCCAACAGCATTATCAATTTCACCTGTCTGAATATGTCCATTGATCAGAATGGTGAATGTTACCTGATTGGGTCCCACACCCTGTTTTTGCATCATATCAATTTGTTCATATGCTTCCTCAAACTTCCCCATTCGACAATATCCAGATAAGATGGAGTTGTATAAGTATAAATTAGGCATATCGCAGGTATCTTTAATCCCTTTTATTAATTTCGTTGCGAATAACTTCATATCTTCATGGGTTCTTATAAAAAACCTTGAATCCTTCTCCATGGGCAACAATGTCTTTTTATGAAGCAACTGATAGAGCTTTTCCCTTTCTTTTCCAGACTTTGTATGGGAATCATTCCATGTACCCGTGTAACATTGAAGATTCCTGGATATGCCACTGATCAATGTGATGTAGGTGATGTCATCACACTCTATATGACCTCTTTCCATTAACGAAACTAGTCTGAATGCAAATTCAAGCTCCCCTTTTCTTAAAAACTGATCAATAATGGAGGTATATAGCACTTTATTTGGCATAAAACCGTCTTTCAACATATTTTCAAGATACATGACACCCTTTTCAATCATATTTTTCTTAATGAATCCACTTATAATCGCTGAGTAAGCACGTGAACTTGGTTGTATCCCGTGTTTTATCATGCGGTTAAAAAGTCTGTTAGCTTCAACTGCTTGTCCATTCTTGGAGTAAACATTTATCATTCTGACATACAAAACATCATCAGGTTTTTTACCACTTTGTAGCATCTTTCTGAACATATCATGTGCATCCAAAACTCTCTTCTCTTTACCCAAACAACCGATAATGGAATCAAATATAGCAACACTAGGCTTCATTCTCTTGTCATCCATTTGACTCAAAACATCAAAGGCAGATGCCACGTCACCACGCTTGCAGTGCTCACTAACCATCACCAAATAAGTTGTGGAGTCTGGAACAACACCCATGCCTTCCATGAGTTCAATGAGAGCATTAGCATGCTCAACAAATCCTTCTTGACAGAAACACTTGATCAAGGAGTTAAAAGCTGAGATCAAAGGCTGAAATCCAAGATTCACCATGAAAACCACAGTATGCAATGCAGCATCACTTTTTCCTCCCATGCATAATCCAATAATGTAAATACTATAAGCCAGATTAACCAGATGAGGCTTACCTTCAATGATTCTACCTAAAAGATAGTCGATTTTGTATTCAATGTTTTTGGTAGTAACTAAAGGGTCGATACCACAACCATATTTAGCAACAGCACTCAAAATCTTGAGTGTAAGATGAAGCTCATGCCCTTTTGGGTACTCCTTAACTAGTGTAAAAAACAAAACTTGATCAGGTATCACTCCAGAATCCAGCATCTTTTGGTATAACTCATCAATTTCAACCCTGTTTTCTTTGTAAAGTGCAGGGATGATGGGTGTATAACAATGGACATTGGGTGTTATGTCCCTACTACACATACTACTTAGCATTGCCAATGCACAATCAACTTTCTTTTCTTTACAAAATTTATTGATCATAATCTGGTAGGTCAACACATCAGGCTCAAGTCCCAACTCAATCACATGCTTGTGTAAAACCCACACTTTATCAAATAATCCGCAATTAACAAATCCATGTAACAATGTATTGTAAGTATAAGCATCTGGCTGACAACCTATCTTGAGCATTTTATAAAACAATCTCATCCCCATTTTTATTTTCTTGTTCTTACAGTAACCATTAATAAGACTAGTATACATAACCTTATCGACATAAAAACCATGGGACTCCATCTCTGCACTCAGCAGTTCAGCCTCCTCAACTCTCTCCATCTTACAGAAACCAAACACAAGTGACTTCCACAAATGAGATACAGATGGCACACCTCTCTCAAGCATTGTATCAAACACTTGGAGAGCTTCATCAACATAGCCTCTAAATGACAACCCCGCAACCAGCATATTATAACATGAAACAGGAAGTAAAATCCCAGCATCATTAACCCTAACAAAGTAATCATATGCATCGAAGAATCTATTTTGTGCAAACACCTCACGGAGTAGGTCGGAACAGGCTCTTCCGATAGAAAATGACTTCAACCCAATAAGCTTCTGGAAATGGTCGTTTTCCTCTTTGAGTTTCCCTAATTTGCAATAACAGATTGTCATGGAACTTAACAATGGAGCGTCCGGCTTAAGCCTGCGTCTCAGTATCCTATCAATATACAAATTTTCAGCTACCCGGGTTTCACCCGCATTCACAAGTCTACAAATGAGAGAAGAATAAGTGGAGAAGTCAGGTTCCAGACCTTGGAAGACAGCAAAATTAATGACGGAAATCTCATCAGTGATGGTCGGCGACTGTGAAATAAGACGCTGAATAACTCTTCGAGCAGACGATAAAAGCCCACGTTTAATTAGGCTTTCAGCAAGGGAAAAGCACAAGGACCTATGGTCTTCTTCACAAGGGGTAACTGTAGAAAATGAAGGTCCGGTTGAAGGATCTGATAGGGGTAGAGGCCTCGTAGCGAATGATTTTCTTATTGATTTGAAGAAGGATTTGAATAAATGCGGTTTATGATGAATACGATTATTCTTAATCATGCTTCCATTTGGCACTAATTAATAATTACGAAGAGGAACTTGAACTTGTGGTTCTGCAGGTTGATCGAAGTGAAAAAATTAATTGAAAAAACTGATGAAATGTACAGGGGCGAATGAACAGAATGATTGTACATAATAAGGAGTTATTAAGAAACTGAAAGAAGAATTCAAGAAGAACTAGTGCTGTTCTTTACCGGAAAGGAGGAAAACCGGCGCCGAGCACCTGTAAAACCCTAGAAACAAAATTGAAGTGGGTGGCGGGTAATAATGTGATATCCTTTAAACCCCAAACACTTCTCGTCTCATTTTTTCGTAACTCGTAAGTGACACCCGTTAGAGTTACACCAACATGCCGAACACAATTTTTTTTTTTTTTTTTTTTTTATTTCTTTTTTTTGAAACCGGTGAAATTTTATAAAAATTACAGAGAAAATAAGAACAATGGATAATGATTTAAAAGGGTAATATTTTTTAATTTTTATATATTTGGTTAGTTAATTTTTTTCATCCATATTTACCTCTTCAACTTGTTAAATTGTACATATTCAATCATTATTACCGATTACTTCAGGTTACCAGGAAAAAATGACTTAATACAATAATATATTTCTCATTTTGTATACATTTAGTCCTTAATATTTTTATACATTTAGTCTTTAATATTTTTTGTTTCAGAATAAGTCTTTTTTTGTACTCATTCAGTACTTATGAATAATGAATGATTTCTTTAGGCTTTTCTCACGACATCTTACGTGAGACAATCATTGATGAAATGTGTAGAACTGTCGACGCTTATGTGTAACGTCCTATTTTCACAACAAAAAAATATTTTTAATAAGGCAAAACCCCCTAATTATATATTCATTATTGAGAAAAAACCGTTTAATCCAAAATATATTTATCGAAAATTAGAGTGATATAAGAAACGCGGAATCCTCAATATTATTGATACGTGTCTACAGTCCTGGTTTCGCCTTCCCACGATTAACGATAGAACCTGAAAACATAAACAATTTGGTAAGCATAAAGCTTAGTGAGTTTCCCCCAAAACACTCCATACAACAAACGTACTATCATGCATAACGGACCCATAATCATCATACTGGAATACCCTGACCCAATCAGTCATCAGACTGGAATGCCAACATGCAACGGGTCTAATCAGTCATCGGACTGGAATACCGAGGGTTTGTTGGTCTGCCTCCTCAACCTAACTACTCTTCTTGAGCCTCCATGCCTACGGCTTACAACCGGCACGCACCAGGTATCTTAGCCTACAACACATAGCAGGACTACCTCAACCTATCACACCACCATATGTCGATATATAAATAATTAAGGAT